GTGTAATGTGTCAAATATCAGCTGATGTCCGAGCAGAGAAACTGCAGTGTTATTGAAGCCCATTAATAACAGCCAAGCCATTCCTCAAAACATATTAAGTTCATTATTAACATAAAACCAGGTCAAGAATGCGATCCTTTGGCACGCGTCCCGTTTGGACCGAGTATGAACAGCTCTGCGTTATTTTACAGATGGAACACAATACAGCTTTTGTGGACATGGTGTCATTCTGAGGGAAGATTACTCCGGCTCTGCTGCTTGTCATAACAGTGTGACCGAACGGAGTGATGTGCCAGCGATCTGTCATCATGAGGGTAACTGAGGTAAAGAAATGGGGTTCTGTGACCTTGAGCTGCCTCACCTGGAACCAGTGTCTTAAAACTACCCAGGAGAAACTCTAGAAAAATAGCAAGTATGGACATAAATGAATAAATCATGTTGCAGCAACAGTTCATTGGGTTCTGCAGTGTCAGCGCACATCATCTTCTTCATCACGCACATCTGAGCTCAATATGATTCATTCACCTGTCTGTTCTGAGCGTTTATGGGTCTCGTATCACCCTGAAGGGTTTTATTTTTTAATAATGACAAAAATATCCCATTATTGCACAGCTACTTACAAAATACATCCACATGAAACCTTGATTTGTACATGTAGCTACTCTTAAAGCACGTGGTGTGGTCAGTAAAACATGAGATGAGAGGAAAGATCTTTTGCATTCACGAGCAAAACCCCTCATCAACTCTGTTTGTTTGCTTTTTTTTGTGAGTAAACGTTTCTCTGAGAAAAGCAATACTTTTTTTTTAAGAGAATGCAAAACTTTTGCAAGTAAACACAAAAGCATTAAAGTAAACATTTTCCTCCCCTCTCATTTTTTCTTCGTCCACCATGTCCCCTTAGTGGCTCCGTAGATTTGAAATAAATCTTAAATTTAGATTACATTAAAGCTTACAGAAAACATGAAAACAATGTTAAAATAGTTTGGTGGTTTGTGAAACAGATTACCACAGGAATAAAACAGGTTACTGCAACTTCGGAACTCTGGCTCATTTCTGCGAATCGATTCAGTCGAAGTTCATTTCTAAGAATCGATTCAGTCGAAGTTCATTTCTAAGAATCGATTCAGTCGAAGTCATGTAGCTACTCTTAAAGCACGTGGTGTGGTCAGTAAAACATGAGATGAGAGGAAAGATCTTTTGCATTCACGAGCAAAACCCCTCATCAACTCTGTTTGTTTGCTTTTTTTTGTGAGTAAACGTTTCTCTGAGAAAAGCAATACTTTTTTTTTAAGAGAATGCAAAACTTTTGCAAGTAAACACAAAAGCATTAAAGTAAACATTTTCCTCCCCTCTCATTTTTTCTTCGTCCACCATGTCCCCTTAGTGGCTCCGTAGATTTGAAATAAATCTTAAATTTAGATTACATTAAAGCTTACAGAAAACATGAAAACAATGTTAAAATAGTTTGGTGGTTTGTCAAACAGATTACCACAGGAATAAAACAGGTTACTGCAACTTCGGAACTCTGGCTCATTTCTGCGAATCGATTCAGTCGAAGTTCATTTCTAAGAATCGATTCAGTCGAAGTTCATTTCTAAGAATCGATTCAGTCGAAGTTCATTTCTAAGAATCGATTCAGTCGAAGTTCATTTCTAAGAATCGGTTCAAAACAGATCACGGTACTGTGACGTCATACGCCGATCATCTCGAACAAGCCCTGTGACATCAAGTTCACGCGCTCTAAACAGCGAATAACGCGAACATTTCGCGTTTTTTTCCAATTATTTTTAATTCATATGTGTGTTTTATAAATGTATACTTGTTAGAGACATGATTAAGATTATAAGAACAATCATTTAGAAATTAAATATAATTATAGCTTTTACAACAGGCTACTAAAAGTACTAATTTGCATCTCTCAGCTGGAGAAAACGTTTTGCGAGTAATAAAATGCTGTTGTTTATTAAAGTCAATTCCTTTTCATTGACAGGAGAAATATATCATAAAATCAGCTCATAAACACATCTCCAGCGCGTTTCATGCTGCTAAACGGTTATTAAAGTAACTTACTTTTCGCTCCATCAGTCACATTTCAGGGTTTACTCCCAAGTCTCTCATAAATAGCAAAACAACGCCATGACGCCACGCACGCACGCACGCGTCGATTCTCCTGTAGTGAGTCAGTGAGTTGACTCGAGAATCGCTCAGACAGATTCAGCTGCGAACCGATTCATTAAAAAGACTCAAAAGAATCGGACACCCCACCTCTAACCGCATTTTCTGCATCTAATATAAACGTGTAAAGCATAAAAACACGTCTGGTTTGTTCTCTAAAACATGTGCGTGATGTGCCAAACCTGACTCAAAGTGCTGGAAGGCGATCCCAGAAGAACAGATGCACACAGTCAGGAAAGTCCAGCACCAGGCTCTGCTGATGAGAAATAAAGATGAGGCGAGATGTTTGTCAGAAGCAGATGAATGAGATATGGAAGCGCAGGTCAGAAGTGGAGTCACCTGAGCGCTGCATCGCTCGCTGGCCCCATGTCTCGCTCTGTCAGAGACTCTTCTGCTCCTGATCCAGCAGCTCCACGCGAACACAGCAGTCTCCGTTCATCCAGACTCGCTCAAACACTGAAATACGACCCGAGCTCCCACCTCCTCAGCCCCCCTCACCTAGCAAACATCTGCTCGGTTTCCATGCTCTCCTCTGATTCTGCAGCATGTATGCATGAATGCAATCTATATGTGAAGTCTGTAACGGCAGGCTGTGCTGTGTATAACACCATGCTAATAAACAAGTAGCTTGTTTGTGCATCTATTAGAAGATATATAGATATAATGTACAGTAGTCCTGAATGACACAAAAGTGAATGGATGTCATTGCATCGGTTAATAAAATATTAAACCAAGTGCTGCAAGAGCTTTTCTCAGAGCTCATTCTGAGATTTTCTTTGTTGTTTTTTTCTGATTAGCCTATTTTCTGTTTTAGTACATGTAAGTTCTTACAGTAAGTTGATTCTGTGTCCCAGCAGACGGACCACAGCTGTAATTCATCACATGAACATGACCCGCTTACATCTGAGCTCCAACAATATGCTGAAATACTTTTGGTCTTAATTCTGAACAGTATGGAGAGACTGGGGCTAGTTGTCACACATGATGTTTTCACATGAGCAAACTATAAAGGCTGAAAACATGTTTTTGCATATGCTACCTTGCATTTTTGCTTTTTAATAAACAGATTTGCATGTTTTGAACTCAATTTTGTTTAAAGCTATTAAACACCACACATTTAATGGCTTACTGTACCCATATAGTGTTACAACAGGCCTTGACTTCACCTATTAAGTATTAGTGACTTTATTATCCAGATACATCCTGGGGCCTTAAAAATAGCATTACATACAAAATAGCACATAAAATACATGAAAAAACTGTGATTACTGAAAATAAGTCATCTTATGTCTTATCAAGCACATGTTCTACCACACTACAGTATTTAAGAGTGAGGGAATCATCATAACCCTATCCCTAACCCTTCAGAAAGCTGATGATTCTGAGAACTCTCAGCTCTGAGATCGTGTCTGCATGTCCAAGCAGTGAGCTGCTGTTTGTGATATATTTCTAAATGTGTGCTGGACAAGCATATGAAACACATGACACATGACAGCAGAGTGAGTGATTTACTGGATGCTATACGGTTGTTTAATGGCCACCACCTGCAGCTGTGTAACACTGAAATCCTCAGACGTCTCAGATGAGTAAACAGCTGGTTTTAGAGGAGTGTGCCAGACGTCTGAGGTTGTGTTGCTCTGACAGTGAATCTGGCAATTCTCAGAGGAGCTGCATGAAATCATTTTTCTTTCAGATTTGAGAATGACAGGGACTTTCCTAAAATTGATGCCCAATTTTTAAGGGTGTTACACCATCTGCAGCAATAAATAGTATACATATTTTGTGCTTGTGGATACTGAGATTTGATGCATTAAAAGATTGCTTAAGGATGATGATGGTTCTTGCTTGTCTCATAAGTGAAACAGCTTCAATTCAATTCAAGCTTTCAAATGACTTCAGAAGAACTGAACATTTTACAGTTTTTTTATTATTATTATTATTGGCGCTTGATCGTCCTTAAAGAAATAGTTCATCCAAAATGAATGTCTTCATCCTCTGGCCATCCGAGACGTAGATGAGTTTGTTTCTTCATCAGATTTGGAGAGATGTAGCATTCTATCACTGCAGTGAATGGGTGCCGTCAGAGAGCCGTCACTGGAGCAAGTGTTATTATGGATTATGGACTCAATGTATTTTAGTTATAAAGGTCTTAATGCTGGATTAGTTTCAGCTTTTGTCTTCTCCAGATGTTAACTGATGGACTGGAGTGCTGTGGATTACTTGTGGATTATTGTGATGTTTTTATCAGCTGTTTGGACTCTCATTCTGACGGCACCCATTCACTTGCAGTGAGACACTGATGCAATGCTACATTTCTACAAACCTGATGAAGAAACAAACTCATCCTAATCTTGGATGGCCTGAGAGTGAGCACATTTACAGCAGACTTTCATTTTGGGGTGAACTACTCCTTAAATAGTTTGATTATGTAAAAAAGAGCAGCATGAAGATTGCTCAGAATGTCCTCCTTTGTGTTCCACAGAAGAAAGAAAGCCATACAAGTTTGGAACAACATGACAGTGAGCAAACTCTCTCTTTAACCGGTGTCTGGTTAATGGAATTTAGTTGAGACCAAGTTTTTTTATTGTCAAGACAAACGTCACTCAGTGAGAGGGGAACCTCGTACAAACCGCTGGCTTTGCAGTGAGGATTTCTTCACTTTGACTCACATTCCCTCAGCGGTCCGCGCAGCAGATGAGTTCATTCCTGCTGATGTGAGACGTCTAGGAGACATGCAGCAGATCTTCAATAAGAGACGTTGCGAGTCATCACGCGTGTGGGATCCACTCCCACAGGCTCTGCGAGGTTCGAAGATAAAAGCAGATGAGAGTCCTGATAAACCCCACACAGACTCGAGGGCTGTACTGCTAACCTGCCGTCTGTAAGACATCACATCTGCAACACTGAACATCTGGGACATTTTGCAATCATTGGCACAGTCTGATACAAAAGCAACACGTATGACATTTCAAGGCAGCTCCAGTGATTTTCTCAGTAAAGCAAACAGAAAGCTTCTGAACCCTGGATCACAATGTGCTTTTCAAATTAATATTAAATGCAGTTAGCTGATCTCTGAGTGTTTTTCACCCACGCAAGTAGGGCTTGAGAGCATCGTTATATGTAATTTCATAATTATATTGTCTTTGGTTAAAGTGCTGCTGAATGTACTGACAGGCTTTTATTAAAGTCATTTCTGTTGATGCTTGTATGCCATGTATTTTGTGATGATGAAGCTGTAATTTACTATATTTCAAAAATATTAACTTTAAAGGTAATGTCCATTAATACACTAATAATCAAGTACTCTACATATGCTTTAGGAGTATGTTAGTCAACATTAAAATAGGTGTACTTCTTTAAAGCATGTTAAATGATTATTCAAACAATGGTTTAAATACATTTTATATTTGACAAAGGTCACTCTTTAAAAGTGTCTCTCTTCAGACACTCTCTTTTATTTCATTCATATTATATTATCTACATGAACAGTTTTTAATACTTTTTGAAGTTCACTAAAAGTGCTCATTTAATTCAATTAAGTGCACTTCTTTTTCACAAACGTACAAATGAAACTATGATGTCCTTAAAGCCAAATGAAGACCAGAACACAACAGTAGCCAATAAAACAGAGCAAATCCGAACAACTCATTGTGTGACGTGTGGCTGAGTGACTCAGAATAGAGTGGTTTAATTTGAGCTCGGTCTCACGCACACACACTCTCACACACACACACACACTGGAAACTGCTTAATAAATCCCACTTTTCTGAAAATGAAAAGGAGACACATATGGGCTTTGTCCCTCTGAGAGAGATTTGCATAGATTTTATGAATTAAAGGTTTTGCCATTTAAAACAGCCTTATGTAACACTGCATGAAGTTCCTCCAGAGAGAAAAAGATCCAGCATGAACAGAGCTGAGAATCAGACACTTCCAGGCAAACGTGTGTATAATCATGGAAACTCATTCTGACCTGAGAGGTCAGAGGTCGTACAGATACGGTGCTCAAATAAAGCTCAGATAAGCAGAGCCTTGAGAAACCTGACAGTCATTTCAAATACAAATATAAATATACACATAATACAAATAATAATAATAAACAAATGCAAATCATCACGAATAACCTGACACACGCGACGCAGGGAATTACTGGCACAGGCTGTCACACAGTTCATTTCTGAAAAGTGATGTGTAATCATGTGGATGTGGGGTATTTAAACTAAGCGACTCCACCAAAGTATTAAATACTGTACTTCTGCATAACAATAAATTAAATAAAAATGACATGATGTCATGCTACGGTGAATAATAAACTCTCTCACGAAGAAGATGAAGGCCAAACGTCTTTTAATAAATCCACAGAACAGACAGACAGGATAAACACGTAGTAGACCGCACAGGGGAACACAGGACAGACTAGAACTAAATACACAGGCAAATGAAGATGATTAACAATGAAGACTGAAGGCATTCTGTGGATCATTATACAAACACATATTGGAAAAACGTCCCACGAAGCATCTAAACAAAGCAAGACACACCCTGTTTTATTCCTCACTAACTCTTTTCACTTGCATATTTCCAAGCTTTTGAAGTCATTTTCATGCAATACTTTGTCATTTTTCCATGTGGATTTAATGTGGTTTTTAGAAACTGGTTATAATTAATGAGTTGCACTTCCCATCACATCTTACATGACAGAGATGAGAATAACTACAACAAATAAGAGGCTGAACGCAGATCAAGAGCTGCGTTCCTGTGAATCTGTCTGTGTTCTGCAGTCACTCATGCTGTAAATGATGCAGCAGAAACACAATGAAGCGATTACTTCAGCTAACGAGCTCATGCTGTTGTGATGCAGGTGACGTCAGCGTCAGAGGATCAGTTGGTCTAGCATCAGATCCAGCCCTCAGGCACGTTCACATTAACATACATGTTTCTCATCTGAGATCTGGCCTCAGTTCAGCATCAGCGTGTTATTACTGACCGTCTCTCTCCTCCAAACCTTTCTATCACTGAACAGACGGAGGACTGACGCTCTTCATTTTCTTCTCTCCTTCAGAAAAACAACAAACTCCATACATACTGAACCTCTCAGCTTTCCCTCCATATTGTTGATATTTCGGTGATGAAATCATTTAATGAGCGCTTCATGTTGCTGTGTGTGATGTCTGGGTATTTGAGAACAGGTTTGGGTCAGTGGTGGTCTCTCACGGTCACTCTTTAACCATCATGACTGATGAGGACCGAAGCAGATGAGAGCTGAGAGACTGGGAACATCCATTCACACAAGCACAGTCATGGAGGATCACAGTAATGATGCATAAACTGCTCCGCACAGCAGCGACGGCACTGCGAGAAGAGTTGCTTCTTTGAGAGCTTGTTTTTGTCTGGGATCTTTGTTTCTGACCAGACGAGCCAGAGCTAAGATGTAAGCTCAGGTTTGCACTGACAGTACTGTACAGTAGTACTGTTGGTTTACATGTTCTATTGTTCCTCAGTGTATGTGTCCAGTCAGTAAAAATATCAGACTTAACATTTTCATAAGCATAAGACATGTTAGTGTATCAGTTTAAAGAAAACGATCTGGACTTACCAAAGTATTTCACAACTACTTTAGTTTTTCTCACAAGTGTGTAACAAAAATCCACTTAAAAACTGAATCTGTTTGAACGAGCACAGCTCTTCTGTCTGAGATCTTTTCTTTCTCACATTATCTGAAGTGTTGTGTAGGTCATAGCTGATAATACGAGTCCCTTCAGTCTCCCGAGCTCCTCAAGACTGACCACAAACCACCCGCTGAACATATGTAGCTGCGCACCAACACTCTCACATTTGAGGGAAATGCCTATACACTATAAACTCACGGAAAACTTGCTTTTACTTAAAGTGTCTCGAAACCGCCCTGTTTCAGCGCTGGTCTTTCACAGCTTAGATCTGAAAAAGACTCCAGAAATGGGTGTGTAAAAAGTGGGAGTGACAACAACCAATAAAACTCAGACCTACAACACACTCATTATACAGACGAATGAATATTAAAATACCTTTAAAACAGAAAGAATAAAGGCAGTTCTTTGAATTTTCGGTCTGTATCATTGTCTGCTGTGTATCACAATAATCCAGCATGTCACCGAGTGTAACACTCCAGAGACAGAGGAAAAGTTGAACTCACATCACATGACCTCTTTAACCTCACCATGATTTCTGACCGCTGGTGATGGGTCTCGTGCTGTAGATCCAGACTGGCAGAGCCGATCAATCGGACCACACTCGCAGCATTAAGAACAGTTGCAATGGACACTATTAGAGCTTAAACACTCTCAGATGGATCGACTGGACCGGCACATAGTGAAAACTCACTCGCATCAATTTTCTTCAATGAAATGAATCTGTCTTGTGTTTTGAGCAAGCGGCAACCTCCCGCTCTCTCTCTTGAAGCCAACACGGAAGTGACTTAAACTGTAATTCATCAACTGGCCGCTAGAGGCTGGCTGCAAAAGCGAGTCAATCCCATAGACTCCTCATGTTAAAATGCCCAACTTTACAGCAGAAAAAAACATGTTTACAGCCTGGTTCAAAAAATGATTTTGGTCTATATAGCTAATTTTGCCCTTGATGACAACTGTGAGGGGGGTGCATTTTTTTTCTGTTTAAGTCATCCGTTTAAATTATATTAAGCCTTAAAGTTCTGCATAATTAAGGGCGTGGCCACTTGAGTGACAGGTGGATTGCCGCTGCTGTCACCGCCGTCGAGCTAGGTGGGCGTGGTTTCAGCAACCAGTTCCCGCCTCTTTGCCCATTTTCGATTTTCCTCGAGTGACGCACTGCCAAGATGGCGACGGCCGGCTCCGCCCACTTTGAGCTTCCAAACTGCTCTTCAGAAACCCTACGGGTGACGTCACGGACACTACGTCCATGTTTTTATACAGTCTATGATTTTGAGGCAGCGTGTGGCATGTAAACACCATACGACTTTCAAAGTCTGCTGAAAGGCCTCGTGGGTAAATAAAAGCTTCTCGTCTGGGCTCGATTTAAACAGCACTGGTCTGTAGGTTACTGATATCCAATAAGAAGAGTAAGAATAACCCGACTCATTTACAGTAGTCTAGAATTAGGCTTATTCTGTGATTAAAGAATTAAACTGGAGCGTCTGGGAGCACTGGACATGTTGACACTGGAAGTGTTTGAAAAACACCGTCTTCTCTTTAAATAATGGACAGCATATTGTAAACTGAGAATACTAAAAAAATCTTCAATGGACTAAAAAAACACACTGAAGTCAGAATGACTTTGTATTTCACAATTACAACTTTATATCTCCATATTTTACAGCTGCAACTTTTTCTCATAATTGCTACTTTATATCACACTTTATGGATTTATATCTTGCAACTGTAACTTTACCAAGTGACTCACAATGTTACTTCTTGTTTGTAACGTTCTCTCACATTAGCCTGTTTATTTGGAGTCTTCCACAGTTTCAGAGCCTCGTTAACGCTCACAGCTCATTCAGACAGCGCCGGACAGAGAATCAGTGCTGTTCTTTCTCTTCTGAAGATGCACGCTGCTCAAGCTGTGTTGGCCAGATGAGAAAATGCTTTGTGTAATTTAACAGTAACAAGTCACAACTGGGAGTACAAACTCACAAATCACTGAGAGATTCGGCGCGGAGGAAATGAAAGCGAGTTGTTTGTTCCTGTTAGTTCTGCTGCGTTAGAAGATGCAGGTCATTAAGATGAAGGAGTCTGAGCATCTGCTGAGATGCTTGTAATGATAGAAGACTCCAGCAAACGACAGAACATTAGAAGTGCTTCAACAATAGATATGTGCAAACCACAGCAGCAATCACAAACTTATTTGGCAAAAGCACACGTTATATTTGCAGAAGCTCCCTCTTCATCAGCCCAAAGGGTTAAGTGAGCGTGAAAACTCTCACATGCGACTGTAAAGAGCAGATGTTCTCACATTCAGAGTCAACCCCCTAAATGTGCGTCCTATAGCAAAGCTACAAATGAAAGTACATCCGTTTGAAAGATTTCTGGGCATAAAGAGCTCCACGCAGCAGCCGGAGATGCAGACCTCAACACAAGCCTCTCAAAGGTCAGAGGTCAAGGCCAGGTCTGTGCTCGGAGCATCCATCCGTCCTGACGGGACACTCGGAAGAGCTTTCTGATGCTCAAACACCAAAATCACTTTATTAATCACTACATCTGTCTTGTTTTCCAGTAAAATATCTAAAAATCCTTTAAAGGGGTCGTGAACGGCCTTTTTTATTATTTTGTGCCGTCCTCTGGGGTTCACTTATATTATCAAGATTTTTATCAAGAAAAGCATAATTTATAAGTAATAGGCTATTTTGTTTATTTTTAAAGCTGTTTTAGACTAACGAGAAAGTGTTGAGTTCTGAAACTTACAGGATGTTTTTAATGACCTCTTATATGTCAAAAGATCAAGGGACTTTTTTTTACTTGACAAGTAAAATTATGAAAGAAAATGACTTAGTTCTGAAAATGTATTATACATATTGTAAGTTTATAAAATATATATA